CAAAATAGAGAAAGTCCCAAAATAAATGACAAGAAAAAGAAAAAGTACTTGAGCATAACGCTATTCTAAGAATTTTAGAGAATGCTTGGAGGGCCTCATTTCACCCTGGGCATGAAGCAACAGCATTTGTCTATTTGATGATCAGTTATATAACTCAGAGCTGGAGCCAAGCAACGTGATTGAGTCAAACTGTGTTCCAACTGTGCAGAAAATTCCCATAGAACAGTGAGGTGGGCTGGGTAATATACAGTGCAGTATATAGATGTGCTTGCTAGGGAAACTCACATGGTAGCCAGGCAGCCAAACATTTATCTGTTTTCATTCATACTTTGAGATAAACTCAACATTACACGTAAACCTGATATAAAGCAATTCAATGCAACAGCATGAGAAAACAGTATGTAATGCACAGTGCAGCTTCTTCACTTTTTATGGAAGTGAGAGGTGCAGTGTTCAGTACATTTATATCAAAGTTCTGATGAGTTTGTTGACATTATAGTGCACAGCTACTGTGGATTTTTCTAAAAGGGATACTTCACACATTGAAACATGAATCTGTATTGACATTGGGTCATATATGTAGTAGAAATGTTAAATGAATTTTGAAGGTGGTGCCTTCTTGGCCAAGAAAAGGCAGAAAGTGTCTTTTTGGCTGATGTGGATGAAATACCAGAATGCACAGCACCGCAGGCCACTCCCACTAAGGTCCTCGATTTCAGAATCAGAAATACTTTATTAATCCCAGAGGGAAGTTTGATCGTTACAGTTTCTCAAAAATGTACAATTAAGCAGTAGAAATTTAGTAATAAAAACATTTTACAGACATTTCAACACATAAGGCCATTTCCTCAACTGATTCAGAGATTTCTTCCAGAATTGGTATCTTGTAAATTCCTGGCAGAAAACAGACTCTATGTCTGTGTCCATAGGTAAACAGTTAGAGCATCGACACTACCAGTCCGCCCCAGCTCCATGTCCTTACTGCCGCCGACAGGCAGGCATCATGTCTCGGCTGCTGAAATGGCAGCGGCCGGCGGCGGCAATATAGCTGCGAGACGGTTGCTGCCGACAGGCCGGTCTTGAGTCGCGGTACCTTAACCACCCAAACTGACTACATGTACAGTTAATTAAAGCTGGAACATGTTGTGTTCCAAAAGCCAGTTTTTTCAGCCATACTGAGGTGTTGTGTGGTTTTTGAGAAGTATGGCTGTCATCCTTACCGTGTCAGTTGTGATGAGATTAAGGTCAGAATTTAACACCTTACTTTTTCTTTTTTATAATCTTTTTTTGTCCCTTTCAGCTCACCGCTGTTAAGCCGCTGCAGGTTCTTCCTGTTGCTGCAGTGATGGAAAATATTAACACCACATGAATGTCTCTTTTCACATAAAAAAAAAAAAACACAGACCCCCTCAGTTGAGAAATCAAAAGTAAAATGCACCTCGTGTGAAACTTTAAATATCAGCAAAGTACTTTGAGTTAGAGCTTCCACCTATGAGCGGAGCATACAGCTGCGGCTAGGCAGACTGATGTCAGCGGACAACCACATCCCCACAGTTGGCAAAGCACCATTTTGGAGTGTGCAAATTGTCAAAGGCCTGTGGATGGAAAAAAATCAAATACGATAACTACAGCCGCTTGCTAAAAGGGTGGCAACTGACTGCAGGCATGTCAACAGAGGGGACGGTCATGTTTCACTCAGACCTGTACGAAACAGAGAAAGCAACTAAACTGGATCTGCAGAAAAGTGCAAAAGCAACTGCATGAACCGGGTATCATTGGACAGTGAGTCTTTTTATAAATACACTCTTGTCTATGTGTTAAAGTGTAACACTGTCATTAATAAAACAAACACTGTCTTTCACTGAAAAAGCACTTAGAAGCTGTCTGCTGCCTCCACGAGATGTTTTCCGACCAAACTGGAGCAGCACTTCTTTAATAATAATTAAATCAAGTGACCATCATATCTAGTATTTCTTTTATTACCTTAATGACTTCTGGGTGTGGCTTTCATAAACACCGTTTGTAGGTTTCTACCACACCCACACACATGCTTTTATGTTTTCTTTGTGTGACTTGTATTTGTATTTCTGTGTGTGAATGAGAATGAATGAATAAGTTTAAAACACTGGTAAAAATTGTTTAATGTTGTTAAAATGGACTTAAAACGTTTTTTTTTTTTTAAATGCAAAATAATGAAATGTTAATCACGCGACGGTTTCAGACCACACTGTTGTAGAAGTGCAGCTCTTGTTGAAATAATAAATTATATCAAGATCATAAAGTCTTTGCATTTATTTGATTCATAAATCAAGAAACTGGTAAAAGTTGCTTTGCATTGTTAATATGGACTCCAAAAAGACTTCATAATTTATTTCATCTGATTGACTCATGAACTACAGCGATTCGTTGTGATATAGAAATGTATTGTTTGACAGCCCTAATTTAGAAATGTTCGTTTGGAATAAAGGACTTACTGATGGGCAATAAAGGGTAAATCTGTTATTTTCTGCAGGAAAAAAACTTACAGGGATTGTAAATCTCTTTTTCAAGAGTGTCCTGGCCTAGACAGACAGCAGCACAATTGACAGACTTTCTGAGAAACAATGAGCAGCCATACAAACAAGATAAATACTTGAAAATGATCTTTAGTTGCTCCCCTTGTGTCATAATAACAAGATTTTATTTAGAAATGTGTCCACTTCATTAGAGGGGCATTCAAAGTGATAAACCTGACGCCAACATGTCTAATCTCGCAATAACCCAAGTGTTCTGTTTTCCTAAAGAACTGTATTATCTTCTTTAGGGAAAACAGAACACTTGGGTTATTGCCCCTCTCAGCTTGTCTGATGGTCCATGACGAGTGTGTCTCTTTTCCTCTTTGTTTCACATGTTCTCCCTGCATTGCCCTGTTGGAACCAGGAGAGCGTCAGTGGTATGCATCACAGGAACACGGTCTGAAACGTACACGCTCCTGGTGCATCTACCAGGAAATAGCTTACCAGTAAGTGCACTTCCCATTTACTTCTGGGCCTGAATAAATGTGTGTGAAGCCAATGCGGTTAACAAAAAAATAACGCGGTTGGCTGCGTGGTAAAAAACAATTGGTGTAAAAACATGTGCTGCTGGATAAGCCTGTGCAGAAAAGCCAGATAAAAGCTGCCATCTTTGAGCTTTTGAGAGCTTTAGTAATGGCCAATAACCCAATTTCAAGGAAAGAGGTTACCAAATAAGTACTCGTCAATGATGAGAAATAATTCCACTTCTCAATCTTAATAACGGCACGACATTTCAACAACAGTGTAACAGCAGGGAGATAAAGGAAGCAGACATCCTTCTTCATCTTTGACTTGTTTACAAAGCAGCAGCCTGAGACAAACACATCACCAGCTCTTTAGAAGAACCGACTGACTGACTAACGTTATTGCTCCAATTTATTTAACCACCATCTTGTGATCTGCCCATTCAACTCCTGTTTGAAAAAGAAACAGGACGGGAATGAGCAAACAAATACTCCTTCTCTCATCGCTGTACTTGCACTCTATTCAGTTATCTGATAGTACTTCCAAACTGAAGTGAGGCGTGTCCAGCACACACTTCTGTCTCTCTCTCTCTCTCTCACTTCATGTTGCTGCACATGTTCAGGTCTCACTCACAGGACTTACTTCATCTCATACTAAACACCACCACACTGTATTCTCATGAAAGCACATACTGTGTTTTTTTTCCCTGATGAATCATTTCCTGTGGGATGAGAAGATTTATGTAATTGCGATGTCTTTACAACAAGCGCAGCCTTATGGCACAATGTCATAAAAAACAAACCAGAAGGCGGAAAACGGACAAATTCTAAAGACTTTATAGGATACAAATTCCCAATGCAACTTCAATAATGTGTTTACTGTATAATTTTAAACAAACAGCTACTACGAGTATTTACTTTGCCCCCGAAAATCAATCATATTATCTCCACTATTGCATCATGCTATGAAATCACCAGATCTACAATACTGAGAAAACACAAGATTGGAAATACTTTCATTGCAATAATGTTTCAAATTGATGATTTTCAACATCAGCACAACTAAATATCTCCACTTCCTTACACAACAGTACTTCTGTTCCCTCCTGACTCCTTGTAACCTCAACAGTCTTTGACCGACTCAAACCTCCTCCCCCCGCATCTGCCTCCTCTGACAATAATCATCTAAATTAAGTGCTGTCTAACAGATTCTTTAATTTGCCTTAGCAGTCCTAAATTGTCATGCGATGCGGATGATTTGCAGGAATGTTTGCACTTGCTTTGTCTGCCTGTTGGAGATGATAAGCACCAGACGCCCTGCTGCCCTAAGGGTGCTAGCTCTTCCCTCTCAAAAAAAAAAAGAAGAAAGAAATACAAACAGACAAAAACACCTGTGCACTCTTTTTTTTATATGAGACTTGTTTGTCTGTTATGCAAGAATCAAACAGGTGTGAACCAACTGCTTTCATTTTCCAAACTGCAGTAAAAATGCAGACGACTGAAGAGCCCTGATGCATCAGCCTGCACTGGATCGGGAAGCAGCATGTTTTTATTTGGTTAGCAGAGCCACAGTGCAAAAAGTAAAGCACCCTGGTTTATATTTATAAAGGGGGAAATTATTCTGTGCCTCCTTTTGAGATCGTAGTTTGGTCAGTATCAGTCAACACCTCTTCTTCAGGGCTTTTTAGTCATTATATGAATTAGAGAGGCTATACATGTATACAGTTTTAGAAATAGCCGTGGTATATAACTATGTTGTTTATGAACAAGTTGCATTACAAATGTGTGGTTTCTGGTATCATGTGGTTCAGAATATCTGACAGATATTTTTCTCATACAGCTTTTGATTCTAGCAAAGACGACGTAAACGACCAAAGAAAGTCAGTTATCTCAGAATTAGAAGCAAACACTACAATCCGCCAGTGTCAGAAGAGTGGAAAAAAAAAAAAAGAGTGAGATGAAGTCATTCCATGTGTCCTACCTTGCGAAGCTGGAGACAGAGAAAGCCGCCATGGCTGCTGCTGAGGGGAGCCCATCATCACCTCTCTGAATCCCAGAAGACTCTCCATACCTGCTCCCCCTGGCCCAGCTTTCCCCAACCAGAGGCAGGTTCGAGAATGGGCCAAAGGGCTTCTGGTCTTGAAGACCTGCTGTGGAGGAAACACTGGCTCTGTAGTGGTAGCAGGACCTGCACCGACACCCATAGGCGAGGACATGGGGAGTGGACTCATGCTGCTCTGTAGACACTGTGACTGACAGTAACTAGCGCCTTCCTGCTTCTCCTGTTTGATCACACCAGGAGTACGGATGTGTATGAATGAGTCATCCGGATCTTTCTCTTCCTTGATCATGACGCTTGTAAGAAGCGACACAGGGGGTTGCTGTTGATGATGAAGCTGTTGCTGGTGCTGTAGAAGTTGGTGTTGTTGTTGTTGATGCTGCTGCTGATGGTGCATTGGGTGGTGCTGCTGGTCCCTACCGTTCACGTTGGTACAGTTAACTCCGTTACCTATGAGAGACTTAGTTTCGCTGATAGGACCACCACCAGCCCGGCTGTCATGAAGGATGGTATCCAAGTGCGCCACCTCTGAATCCAACTCGAAATCACTGATCTCTGGCAGAGAACTAGGAAGGTCCAGGTCATGCCATATCTCGGTATCCTCGATTAGGCGACTGCTGTTTCCATCCAAATCACACAGACCAGCACCTGTAGGTCCGCCGTAAGTTTCCAAGTCTTTATCCAGGGAGAAATTCCCCTCCTGTTTGATGTGCGGGGAAAAAAGGTCGGGCAGAGGGAGGTTTCCCAGCACAGAGGTGTCCGAGGTGTTGATGACAGAGGTGGACGTCCGGTCCAGATCGGAGATGCTCCGTTTCAAAAACGACAAGTTGTCCTCCAAGTTGAATACACCAATATCCTGTTGGTGCTGATGCTTCTGCATTTTGATCATTTTACCCTCCTTCATATCTGACCCTTCACCGAGGATATGATGCTGCGGGGACTCAAAGAGGCCTCCAAGATCAGCCTGGTCTTTGGTTCCTCCTTGTAGTTTTGGGGCAACTGAGGACTGGGGCAGTGATCCTGAGCCCGGCAGGTGGATTGAAGATTGGAGCAGTGAACTAGCCGTGTCACCTGTGCTTCTGCCTATTCCCTCTCCCGTCTCCCCAAATGTCAGGCTGTCGTCTCGATTACCGTTGCGCTTTGGTCCATCCTGATCCATTTCTCTATCCTGACAGGACAGTGAGCGTGTGTCAAAGAGAGCACACCACAAAGACAGAGAGAGAAAAGAGACAAGGCATTAAAAACAGAGCTGATGCTGGATTGGATGGTGAATATGCGGTAACAAGTCCTGAAAGTCAACATCAAATTCTTTTCAATAATATCGATCTTTCACAGTACTGTGTCTCTGGAAACATCTGCAATAAAAAATGGTGTTCAAAGTCAAAGTCAAAGTCAAAGTCAACTTTATTGTCAATTTCAAAATATGCCAGACATACAGTGGAATCGAAATTTCGTTTGTCTCCGTCCCGCGGTGCAATACAACCAAAATAAGGTAAAATAAGATAAGGTAAAAATAGATAAATAAAATGAGGTAAAAATAAGATAAATAATATTTACAGTAATAAATTCTAAATTGTGCAAAAGGTATAAATTCTAAATTGTGCAAAAGGTATAAATTCTAAATTGTGCAAAAGGTAGTAAATCAAATACAATAAATTTGAAGAAAAAGTGAACTTGTGCAGTATGTGCAATGTGCAGTAAATGAGTGTACAGAGTTTTTAGTCCAGAGTTCTTGGTGGAAAACGGGAGGGGGTTCACATATAAAGCACTGCTTGCGTCTACCACTGTGCCTCTGCCCCCGCCATTTATGTTTTTTTTTTCTTTTTTGAGAATGACAGCAGCTGTATCAAACAGGTCATCTCCCCCTCTCACACCCACACTGGAAGAATATGGCAGTGGCACAAATGCTCCAAATCCAGAGATAATAAAGAGACCATAGCCATTACATAACATAGCATACATGTCTACATACATGTCTACATACATGGCTATAATCTTCATGTTATTTGTTTGAACTGTGCCCTCTACTCAGAGCAAGACATACCCAGGCACAAATTGTGTTACAGGCAGTGCAACCGACAGTCCCTCATACAGCTAAACATGTGTGCAGCAACATACATCTGTTGAAAGAGATTAACCCACAATGGGCCTCCGGGCATATGCAGTAGTCACCAGTAACTGTCGATCCCATTCTGCAAGGGAGAGCAAATTGTGGTCTGACTCAAAACTTCGTTTAAAAGATTGGAAATTGAACAAAACCTAATAAGGTGGAATTGATTGAATTGAAATGAAATTTAAACATTTGGAGAGCAGTTTTGCTTTCCAAAGGGCAGCTTCATGCATTCCTTGAGGGTTTCGCAGCCCACAAATAATCTGTTGATCAAAGACAGCGGGGCAGAAATGAAGAGCTGAAGCTGTCACTCGCGCCAAGTACGTGCGTCTAAATATTACAAATACGTTCTCAGCGCATTACGCACTTTGGATTCATTCAATGTCGTCTGAAAATGTCATTTTGAAATAACGCATTGACCCTGTGATTTGTCGGATCGATGAAGCCAGCCGATCGACCATATTCTAGTGTTTAACTGAAGCCGTGGTAGTGACACTGTTCCTAGAAGACACTCCCCCATACAGCACAGGGCAGACAGGCTACACTGAGCTGTATGGTGCGGTTCACGATCACTTCCCCCCCCTGCAAAATGTACTGTGACGTCTGTTACAAGTTTTTATTTCAATGTTAGCGCTTTCTGTTGTTTTAAGAATATTGTTTTGGCCCTGGATGTAACAACAACCTGCAGGACAGACGGCTCTGGGATGTAACCAACCGTGCGCTCACTAATGCAAAGAACATTTGTTACTGATTCAGTCAAAATTAGAGCATGTTGAAGTGTAGAAAAGTTTTGGCTCTGCCGTCTTGTTTTACTGTGTTCCGCTCATCACTACATCATTATTAGTGCAACCTGTTGGCTAAGAAGGTACATTGCACTGATCGCCCGCCTACAGACGGACGGAGAGGCTGTACAGCAGCCTTTTACAGTTTAAGTTTTAGCCGTGTTTTCTATTTCTAACAGGCACATTTGGCGTGTCCTTTGAGCCTTAGCGGCGACATTGTCAATATGTTAATATGTCAAACGGTGTAGGGGGGGCTGTCAATGCGCCGGAGACGCTCGTCGTCGGCCTTCCTCGGTGACACGTCCAGTTTACAGTCTTGCTTTTAATGTTGTTGTTTTTTGTTTTTTTACAGCATCAACTAAATGACAACTTGTTATATCAAAAAGTAAGACCGCACCTGTGGTGAAAGAAGGATGCGACGCACCGGTTAGGTCATCTCCTGCCGGTCCAGGTTAGAGAAAAAAAAAAAAATATGAGAAATAACGCAATGTCCAAACAGTCAAGCACTCCAATAAAAGACTTTCCTTGCGAGAATGATGCGTGGTGAAACGCCAGCTGGATTTGTTGCTGTCTCTCCCTCCGTTTGGCAGGAAAACATCGTCCGAAATATCTACTGTTTTCTCACTTCAGGCGACGCCGTCGCTGACATATCTGGAGCTGCCGAGTTCCACCGTGAGCGCCGATCTGTCGGTAACTTTTAACGCACGTCACCAGCAGACAGGGGGAAAAAAAAAAAAAGTCACCTGTAGATCTGTTGTCCAAAGACTTTTTCCAATAAATCCGCCATGAATCGACAAATCTGCAGCGCACAAGTCCGCTTCTGCGCCGTTAAACCCGTGAGTATTTGTAAAGTTATATAAGACGGCCGTGTTGCCCTGGTGCACTCAACTGCAAACTCAGGCAGAGCATGGCGGACAGTTTGTGAAACGGTGACAAGCTGCATGTTGTAGAGAACAGCGCATCCGCCCCTCCCTTTCAAAATAATAGCTTTGTTTTTTGGGTGTTTTTTTTTTTCCCCCCCCACAATGTTCACATTTCATTTTGTTCAGTTTTTCCATACGGGAAAGTGAAAGGTCGGCGCTCGTGCGTGGCAGGCGAATGCAAAGTATTGATCAATTGTGACAAAACACATGTTAAAAACAAAGTGCACATTCAGTTCTGGTTTTGACTGTGAAACTGTGAAGCTTTTATTTTAGGATATACTCGCACGGCTTATTGTCACATTCTGTCCGTCTGTGTGAGCTTGACACAGCTGTTAGTTTGACACTTGCCGGTGAACGCCCCTCTCTCCCTACTGAAACTCTCTGCTGGGGAATCTGTCAAAACGTGTCTTCGTCGGCCATCGTTAACCCCCAGGCACGGAGGGAGAGAGTGAGGAGCCATTATTGGCTGTAACCCAGCCTACTGTATGTTCTGCTATGCCTACACAACGCCAAACGCCGAGGACGGATATTGGCTACAGTTGTCATCTGGGGGACAGTTTGAGGGGTCACAGAAGGTTGTCAGCAAGGGAAGAAAGTCTGTTTTCCCATGTAATCAGGATTAGACGTTTAGAATCATAGCTTTCATGCTTCAGTGCCTTGTAAGTTTGAAGTCTGTCGTTTAACTCCAGCAACGCAGAGAATCACTATGATTGAGTGACAACAAGCGCACAGAGGTATTAAAAAAAAAAGAGGGAAGCCAGGCTCCAAGCGCAGCCAGTCAAAAGTTGAAATAACCCACCGTCCCTCCCCCCCTTAAATGCAAACGATATAAGTAAAAACAACTGCCCAAATGAAGAAACAAAAGTGCCTGTAGCCCTTTAGAATATAGACATTAATTATTTCCCAGACCAGCTCTTTCTCTGAGAGATTGTGGATCTCAAGCAGGGAGTGAGGGGTCAAAGGGCATGCTTACAGCCTGTGGTCATCTATAGGTCTAAATCATTTTTTTTTAAATCTTTCACATTCATCATGTGATGAGATATGAGATACATAGATGAGCTATATGGTTTATGAGTCTTGGTTAGTCTCAAAGCCAAAGATAATAGGCTACATTAAAAAAATAACATACAACTCGGCAAAAAGTCAGCACATTTCAGATAAATGGGGTTTCAGAAATGTTTTCAAATCCATTATTAAAGTTGTTGTTAATCCTTTGTGAGCAACTTTAATAAACTTATCTTTACATGACTTCTGCGAGAGAGGCCCTGAGAGGCACAGCATTGTTTAATATTAAAAAGACCTTGCTAGTTCAGTCGTAATCTTTTAGGATCATTTAAACAGTGTCTCCCCCTTAATGCATTTAAAGGGCCTACTTGAGCACAACAACAGGCTGGTGACCTTTCATTGACTAATAACTCTGTTGTTCACCTTCATCAGACAAGGTTTCTCGTTAGAGATACAGTTTTCTGATGGCACTTCAGGGGACCTCGACAGGGACTAATTTGAGTTATGTGTTTGGCAGAGTCAGCTTGGGGTGAAGAAGAAGAAGAAGAAGAGGAGGAAGAGGAGAAGAGAGAAAAATGGAGTGCAGTGAAAGGTGCAGCACCCCATGCTGTTTTATCCTTTTAAAATTAAACCAGGATGGACAAATGCAAAAACCGCAGCCAGAAAAAGAGAGACGAAAAAGGAGAAGATGTGGAGAAAAAGAAGAGAAGGGGTGGGGGGAGGGGGGGGGGGCAGGTGTGGCCATGCATGCAAGTCACTTGATTAGAAGGAGCAGAGTGAGTGTGTCCTGTGCATGTGTGTGTCTCATTAAGAGCTAGTATGGCTTGAGAGAGGCCGGAGCTCCCTATGGGCCTGAGAAAACCACACTGTTCTCAAAACATTGCAGGGAACACTCTGAGTTTCTTAATGCCAGATAACAATGGGTGATCCTATTTACCAATAAATAATAAAAACACGGGACATGTGGTCCTGCATGTGCATGTATGTGCAACTGGGAATACATATACAAGTATGTTAGTGCGGTTGCTCTGTCTTCATAGTAGGTTACAACAGATTCAGGTAATGATCCGCTGCAGAGACTTGTGAATATTCATGGATTAATGTACATTCACATGTGCTAAGAACAAATACAGGCCAACGCTTAGCTTAAATTGTCCTAACCTCCAATTTACAAAAGAAAACACAATGCTCAATTGACTGAACTAAGAAGACAAACATGTTGTTCAAATGTAAAGCACTGACACAAACTGTTGGCTGCACATCTGTTTTTGGAAATGTACAGGAAAGGCCTACTTTAGTAACAGGACAAGAGGAATGTTTAAGAAGCCGCTTCATTCAAACAAAACAGTCAAATGAGGTTATTTGAATGCTGTTAGCATTTTGTTTTATATGCTGAGTTTCTCTGTTTTGCAATGCACAGAGGAAATAAAATACTGGCAATGCTGCAGATAACGTCTATCCTTGATATAAAGCAACTAGTGTTAACGGCAGTGAATGTAGTTTGAGTAAAAAAGTGTAGAGAAGTCTATCCTATTCGTGGCTGGACTCTTTATTTCATCGTCCGCCAAAATTTTGAACCTGGGAGGCGGACCACTTCCTAAACTATCCTATTGAAAAGTGCAGGTGAGTAAATGGTCCTTGCAGAATGAGGATGATTATTTAGTTGTAGTAATTCTTATGTCATCTTACATGTTGTTGGAATGTGATAAATATATATATATTTTTTTTAACAAAAAAAAGATGAACACATGTATAAAATAAAGTGAGTAGCTTTCTGGCCATGATGATACAGATATTCTATAACTGAGTTAAGTTTCTTCTTCGAGTCTTTGAACACATTATGAACTATTTCATGATAATTTGTTTAGTTTTGATCAGAACTCAGAATTTATTTTCTAGCCAGGTGTGATTGATTTAAATGTTTTGTTTCCAATCTACCACTTAGGTCTTAGCTGTGTGAGTAACACAAACTGAAGGAGTCTCACAGGAGATTTAATTAGCAATGAACGTAGCATATAAAAAAAATCTGTTTGTTTTTCTGCTGATATAATCTCTTAATTTTAAACATGTTAAATAATTATCTTGATCCCTTTTCCTTGTGACCACTTTGAATTAAGAATTAAGTTTCATATTGAATTTTGTATAATGTCAAGAGTACCACATGGACTATTACAGTGTGATCCTTTTTTTGTGTACTCACTGCCCCCTAAGGGCATGAGTAAATCTTCAGATGCAAATTTTACAGTACAACAACCAAAAATGTATATTAAGAGCTCAGGCCAGAGAGGGAAAGTCAAAAAAGCAACTGGGTCGCCCTAAATAGGTTCATTGACTTGACAAAACACATTTGAATGAATAATTTAATCGACTTCTTAGACTCAGAATAGTTAAACAAATGAAAACTTAACTCCACTAAATAAGTAATAAAGTCCATTCCCCCATCTCTGCATTACATTAGAGCAGTCACACATAGCAGGATTTATCTAACACAATTATGTTACATCATATGTCGAGGAGGAGGCAAATTTCTACTAAAAGGGAAGTCCAGAAAGGGAGGAAGGATTTGAACAGGCAGTTCACACCCTTTGGCATGTCTTAAGTTGGGTTCGACAATGAAGAGAAAACATTTCAAGGAAGGATGGAAATAACACAGCAAGGAAGGATTTCCAGACAGACTGCAAACAAACAAGTTATTGCCCTGTGTGTGACGAGTGTGTGTTTGTGTAGGCAACCTGCCCGAAAAACCCAGAAGCAGGAGCAGCCACAGTGCAGAGATCATCTGAGAGAGTTCCAGACAGAGAACGTCTGCCACTCATCTGACCCAAATATAATCAAGGCCTTATGAGAACTGATCCAAGTGCTGAGCTGTTATATATACAGCATGGTATATTGTGTCAGCCACATGTCTGATTTAAGAATAAACTGACGTGTGGATTAAAAAACGTACAAAGGCTTCTGAAAACACTTTAAAAGAAACCTGCAAGTCATTCCAAAACGTCTACACCAGGAAGTGTCACTGACACACACAGGAAACACAGAAAGTATTTATTTGCTGGGCATTTAGCAGATTATAACATAAACATACATTAGAGGACAAAATGTACTGCTGTTCCATACTGTCAACACATGTACTCTGTGAGACCGGAAATCTGTGTGACTCCTGGGTTGTATTTGGAACATGTCCATCTTCCTGCCTTACTATACAAAAGAAAGTCGACCTATCCTGTAAGTGTTTAAGTGCTTACATTATATACATTTTTGCTTACAGGGAGTATCTAACCAACTTATTTGGATTCAGCTGTAGTTTCACTTAGTTTTGAATAGTTTTTGAAGTACACAACTGCATTTGGCATGGGACAATTTTGTTAAATCACAGGAAGGTACCCTCTCATGACTTGATCCTTCTCTACACCTCAATGTAGCGCAATGTAAGTTGTTTACCTTTCACTATTATCCTGGATGGAGCTAAACCCTGAATGCATCAAGGTTTAAATGAAAAATACCATTATAAGGAGCTAGGTGTATTTTGATGCTTGAAGAAGTCTTTGGCATAAACATTCTTAAAATTCTTAAATCCATGCAAAGAAAAGGCGACATAGACACTGAACGACCATGGCGGTTAACTAACCAATACAAACAACTGTATAAAAGTTATTTGGTAAGCTCGTTATATGGCCGGCACAGCAAGTGGTTTCAGAAGTTCACACATAAACCCAACAGCAAAGATTTAGATTTTCCGTATCAGTATCTGCTTTGCATAGTGAGCAGGCCGTTGAGCGTTAACCTTCAAGTCAACTGACCGCAATGACCTTTGGATTCAATTGTTGACGAGGCAATATGATCTATCAGCAGCAAAGGAGGCTTTTAGAGGAGATCAGCCTCACAAACACAAATTAGCTGACAACAGAGTGGGTGCAGAGTGGACAGGTGTACAACCCACGGCCTGATTCTCCAGCATTTGGCTGCCATACAAAACT